GCTCTAGTACTGTCTCCGAGAGCGCATGTCGCCGCCGCCTCCTCCTCCGCCGCTGCTGCTTCGGCCGCCACCACCGCCGCCGCTGCCCTCGCCGCCGCTGAAGCTGCGCTTCTGACCCTGGCTCGAGTGGCGGGCGCGCGAGATCGAGATGGGCGTGTTGCCCAGCATCATGTTCGGATTGGCCAGCGCCGCCTGGTAGTCGTACTCGTCCTCAAAGGTCACAAAGCCGAAGCCCTTGCTCTGGCCGTCCTGCATGATCACTATACAGGAGAGGAGAGGAGAGGAGAGGAGAGGGGAGGGGAGGAGAGGAGGGTAAAATTAGATTATACGCGCAAACATATGTAAACAACTTCAACAACAAAACTGTGCACAGTGCACTAAAGAGAGGGCAATGTCCTTCCCTTCTCCCTCTTTGAAACCTTGAAATAAAGAAAGAAGCAGTACACGAACCTTTCGCCGACAACACCGACGGGTAGTACGCCCCAAAGGCCGACATCAGAATTTCATCGTCAATCTCCGCCGAGAGATTGCCCACAAAGATGGAGAGTCCACGCGATTGGCCACCGCCGCCGCCGCCGCCACCACCAGAGCCGCCGGTCGGGCCGCCTTGTTGGCGATTGGCAGGCTTCAGGAAGAAACGGGCCTTTTCCTGGTTTGGTAAAAGAAGGATAGAAAAGAAGGGGTAGAAAGGAGGACGTTAATAAAAAAGATTGATAAAAATAGTGATGAAGGAAAGTGAAAGAAGCAAAGAGGATAGGAGGATAGGATCTGGCAAAAAGAAAGATGGCAAAAGAGGGAAATGATGTGGAGAGATGAGAAAAGAGTGATGATTCAGCAAAACTTTGGTTGTGATGGCATAAACAACAAAATGTCTATGGCTAGCAATTGCCATCACAGATGCTGCTGCTGAGCGAGCAGACAAGAGATTTGCTTAGAAAGTTGAAGAAAAAAGTATGATTAAAATATGGTCTTGAGAATGAGAGGGAAAAGAGTATTGACGATATGAATGAGAAATAATAAAAAGTAAAAAATGGTAAAAAATGTAAAAAGGTATAAATACATCATCGTTATTTGGTAATTTCTTGCCGTTCAGGTCACGAAGGGCATTCTGAGCCGTGACTCGGTCATCAAAAGTTACAAAACCATAGCCAAGTGGCAATCTAAAAATGAGAGAGAGAGAGAGAGGAAAGGACAGATGAGCAAAGAGAGGAGAGAAAATGGTTGACAAAGTAAATATAAAAGTGCAATCACAAACAACACACGAATATTAACAAGAGAATTGATGATTAGCAGAATAAGACACACTGATGAAGAGTGCTGTAAACGGAAAGGTATTCAAAGTATTCAAAGTGTTTAAAGTATTGTTTGCAATGTCAATGTGAAAAACGTGTGCAGGTGACGATGATTCTGCTGTTCAGGTCAGCAGCTTGTGCGACACGTATCAAAGGTAAAGTGTGATCAATATGGATAAAGATATGAAAATCAGAACATAATAAACTCTGGCAGCTCTTAAAAAGAGCGTTTCAGCAGCAGTTCAAGTTAAAGTTTTGAGAAAAACAAACTCTGTAGGCTGAAGGAGCGCGAGAGAGCTCAGCAGCCTACGCTTTTGGCCGCTTAAGCCGGCCGGCAAACTCACTCGCTCACTCGATCAAACCAAATAGAAGCGCGTACGTAAAGAACTGTCAAAACGGAACAATCTGCAACACCAAGTCCGCACTTACCCAGTGTCTCGGTTGCGGATGATTTTGATGTTGCTCACTTGGACGCCCACCTGGTTGAAGGCGTACTGAATGAACTGCTCGTCCATGGTCTCGTCAATCTAAATGAAAAAGAAGAGGATGATATGAGTAAAGGCGGCTGATGATGATCATCAACAAAGAACATGGCACTTACGTTTCCCATCCACAGTGTGTTGCCGTTGGAGCCGCTGCCATTCTGGTAGCCTCCACCACCGCCGCCGCTGCCGTTCTGGTACCCACGGGAGCCACCGCCGCCGCCCATCATTTGGCTGCCATTGTAGGAGCCGCCACCGCCACCCTGGTTCCAGCCGCCGACGCCCATGCCGCCGTCACCAGAGCCGGAGCCATAGCTGCCACCACCACCACCGCCGCCGCCGCCGCCGTGGTCACCGGAACGAGGTGATCGGTGCGGCCGGCCGCCGTACGGCTGCTTCATGTTGGGGTGATTCGAGTGGTGGAAGTTCGAGTAGTAAGCCATCTCGTCGCCGCTCTGCTGATTCGGTTGATACGCCAGCCTGACGGGTGGGACTGCTTCCGAGCTTGACTGGGGTGCTGGAGGAGAGGAAAAAAGAAAGGGGAAAGAAGGGGTGGGAGGCGTAGTACTTCTCGAGGATCTGGATCGAAGCAAGCGCAGAGTCTTCCGGGGGAGAAAAGTCAGATCTGCAAAAGTGAGCTGAAGTGAAGAGGAGAGGAGAGAAGAAAGAGAGAAGCGAAGGCAGTGAGAGAGAGTCGTGGCTCGAGTTGTGGTGTGTGTTTGTCTGAAGACAGCAGCGACACACTGAGCCGCCGTTTGGGTCGCCCGCCGGCGAAAGCGAAGCAGGCCGGACAGTGGGGGCAGGCCACCACCTATCCCGCCTGCTTTCGGGCACTTTTCTGTGGGGCAAAAGCACCGCTCTGAAGAGAAAACACAGCGAGCAGCGGCGCCGCCGGCCGCCGTTTCGACTGCGGTCGCTTCTGCCGCTGCTGCTGGCGGCTATTGCGGCGAAGGAGCGGGAAAAAAGGCGCCGCCACCAAAAAGAAAGATTTCGTGTGTGTTTGAGTATCCAAAAGATCAGAATGGATCAATTCTTTATTTTCCATGTTTTCTCATATTTCTCTTCAGTGGGTCTTCCTACAGTCCGAACAGTTCAAGGTTT